GAGCTCCTCCCACTGCTGTTGTGTTTGGGTTAGGTGCTTTTGTAGCACACCATTGTGCAACATTTCAGCAACATATTGTGTAAAAGAGTGACTAAATATGCTTTCTGACTACTGGAACGTTTCAGAGCATAGTTCCCTCTTTCTGAAGTGAAATGGTTTGTGTCTGTGAGATAAAATCTTATTCAAGTGAGATTTGTCTGATTCGTACGGAGAAATCCATCATTGTCAGAAAAAAAGGATATTCTGTTGTCCTTTTCCCTGCCACAAGAGGCAGTCCAACCACGTACCCTGGATTCCCACTGTGATGGACAGCCACTTCTCCACCGGCCTCCTTTACATAAACAAGTGAAACAGACAACGCCTTTAGCTGATTGTCAGCGTTATCGTGTGACTTGTTTTTTTGGACAGCTTTTTCTGTACTAAAAACTAGATTCACTCGTTACCAGATACATGTCTGTAGCTGTGGAACGACAGAAACGTGTCTCTTAAATGTGCATTACAGGACATCCTCGGGTCTCAGGAAAACTTTGTCACACATGAGATCAAACACCAGACCATAGAGAATAAAGTATCAGGTTTCATAAAAAATAAATAAACATCTGACTGAGCGGCCTTAGAATAAAAGTTCTCAGGAAAAATGTACTGAGACAAATCCGTAAGAATGCAGCCAGACCAGACTACTTGTGGAGTAACTGTCAGATGAAGTGCTCTCAGGTAGAAGTGACTTAGAGATGAGCTAAACGTCCAGCAGCTGGCGGCGTTGTCACATCACGACCGCACCGATGTCCAAATACGTCATCAAAGTAAGAGTCAGGCTTCTGACACCACAGTAAGTTTCATCACTTCTCTCCATTCTCTGTACCTTTTCTATGTGTGGCAGAGTGGAGCGGATTGCTCCACCTGCTGTCACTTCCCCTTGACTATGGAGCCAGCCAATCAGGGCCCTGGTGGCCTCCTGGCTCACCACAGCTGGTGTGTTGAGGCTTCTGATTGCTGTTACTCCATCAGGCTTTTGGTTACTGCCATCCCATCAGCATGGGGTGACCAATCCCTCCCTTCCACAAGCTGGGGGGGGGGGGTCAGAGCTTGGGCCTTCTCCATCTGCCCTAAGTAGTGCATGAGGAGGGGGCACAACTGAGGAGCAGCCAGCTTGGGACAACGCTTACAGAGCCATTACAGGGCCAAAGGAGCCACCGTGGTAGGCTAGGATGGCGCCGGGACGTCTGATGGACGGCGAGCTAATGGCATTGACCTGCTAGAGCTGTGGGACCAAAAGCAGCTGTGGTGTGGCTGAAACCCAAACAGCTGAGAGTCTTGGCAGGCAGGCACCTGAGTGGGCCATCAACGCGGAGTCCTCAGATGGATGACCAACACTCCTCCACCCACAGGACTGTATTTAATGCCTCTCTTTATATCTGCGTAGTTTAGTTTTTTCCTTTCGCTCCCAGTTGGAGACTGCTGGTAGTTGGTGCTCTTCCCCTCCCCCGGTGTAGCATCCCCCCCCTGTGTGGTTTGCTGTGGTGGCGGGATTTTGTTTTTGTCTTCAGTGGGCACTGTTTCCTGGGTGTCCTGGAGGCGGTGGGATGCCCACTGCTCTCCTTTAGTTAATTCACCACCTGGGAAGATCCAACTGCGGTTAAATTTGATGAAGTCTCTTGACTTCAGAGAAAGATTTTAAACTTTTATGAATGAAACTTGAACGTCGGAACAACGCCATCTTTGAACTTCTTGAGTGAATTGGCCTATGGCGTTAAGGGCTTAGCGATTCCTAGGGAGCCGTACCCTAGGTGGCGCTGTTGGGTTTTACTAAGCCTTCTCCGACGAAAACCCGTCTGAACAGATGTGTGTTCGGCTGCTCTTTAAAGGAGACCACTGAGTCCACTACTAGACATTTTCCAACTGTTCATTTGAATACTTAAGACTTAGACTGAGAAAGGAAATGCTCCATGCATCAGCCCTGCTTCCACAAAACACAAGCCGTGGTTACCTGCAGGGTCAGCATGTCACTTGATGAGCCAGGAATCCTACTGGGACACAGAAAGACCCCAGGTGGGTACTGTACCTGAATAAACTGGATCTGAAACAGCTGATCCAGCAGCTGAGCGGCTTCAGGGACAGGTCCAAGAACCAGAGACACAGAAGCATTCACCACTGCACCAGCTGGGTTATATTTCAGCACATAGACCACCTGAAGAGACAAATCAAACACCTACTGATTAGTTAAAGGTATTAAAACAGCTCTCATCAGTTCTCTGAACAAACTGATGGTCACAAAAGCCATGGTTCCATTAGAACCTACCGACACTGGGATGTTGCCATTTCACAGCATTTCCTTCAGTAACGTGTTCTAGGCTGCCTCCCCAGACTGTCCGTCACCGAGGACGCCGAGGTCCAGATGACTTTACTGCTTTGTATTTAATAAAAAATAAGAATGCTTTCGCACTGCAGTCGTCTTCATTTTGGTCTCGACTTCCTAATGTGGATGGGACAATGGAACGTGGACCTCAGTCGTTTTTAATCTCTGGATAAGGTCTTGCTTCCATGCGTGCTGAGTCATGGAAAAAATGCTAATTCAGATGAATGTGGTTGCTGACTGGCCCAGCGCAACACCCCCACGCTTTATGGCGAGCCCACCCACCAGAGCCGTTTCTCAGTGTTAATGGAACACCACCCAACCTGTGTCAAGCCACGCTGAGTAGCTACTACAGGAACTGTGGTTAAAGGGAGAAAAGTGTCCTCACTATAAGCTGCAGGTCTGGACAGGTGATCAGGGGTCGGGTTAGGAGCACCATCTCACTAGTATGAAAGTGAACTGACAGCACACTATGTCAGACTCCTACTGGACCAGCAGGTCTCACCTGGACCACCACGTTGAAGCAGGAGGAGTTAAGGAGAACTGGGGTGAGGTTTTCTCCACCTCCATCTGTCAGCTCGCTCCATGTCCCCTCTGTGGACTCCAAGATGACTGAAGCCAACTTCACAGGAACAACCTCGGAACCAGAACCAGAACAAAATTAGTTCCACTTGGTACCGAACCTGCAGCAGAACGGTTCTGTTACATTGCAGAACTGAGCCTCTGTCTCGGTCCTCCTGCCCTAAAACCAGGAATGATTTGCTTTTTATACTTTCCCTCGTTACTTGATTGTATTCTAAAATAACATTTTCATGCAGAAGTGAAAGCTGCAGATCCCGTCCGACATGACAACACAAGCCATCATCAGCATCTAGGGGTGAAGGAGGTCCGCCTCGAGGGAGAAGGTTAATGAGGCCGTGGTTCGTAGAAGCAGCTTCGTTGATCATGCTCATTAAATGGAGCTGTTGGTTTTCGGTCTGTGATCCGGTCCGCGGCTGGACGCAGTTCGGTCGGAGCCGCCCCGAACCTTCCTGGATCTTATCTTCACAGCGGAGAGACGCCCGGAGAGCCTTTCAACCATCTCAGCTATGGCGCTCTAACTCTAACGCACTTCAATAAAAGTGATGAGCCAGTGAATCAGTTTTAGCTTGGTTCATATGTAAAAATTGCACGCACACACACACACACAAACACACACACACGCACACACACACACACACACACACACACGCACGCACGCGCGCGCACGCACGCACACACACACACACACACACACACACACACACACACACACGGAGCAAAGATCAGATCTTAACGTTTTCACTGATCTGTAAAATCTGCTGACATAAAGTCGGGCCAGTGAAGAGCAGAAGAGCTCTTCTCAGGTTGGGACTGGGATGAGTGACGGCTGTGGCGTGAGCTGCTGCACGTTCTAGCTTTGGGACCTACAGACAGCGGTCTGGTGGTCCCATCCTAACCTGGAACAGCTGAAAGGTTGTTTCCGGTTTGTCCCAGCTGCTCTGGGGGTAAATTAGACCTCCTGTAGGCGAGTCGAAGAGGTTTGCAGCTGCAGAAGGTCTCTGGCTCTCCTGCTGTCCAGCACGTTCTGATCGGAGTTCACTGGTAAATATTTGTTCCATTTTTAATAACAAGATTTAAAAAACTGTTAAAAAAATAAATACTTACGGCTGCGTCTGCATTCTTTCCCTGTGAGAAAAAATGAATAAATTTGATTCAACTCAACATGAAACAACAAGTAAAGGTTGTTTAACAGGAGTTTAACTATAGAGGTGTCGGGTGTCTAATCACTACTCTTCTCCACTTCCAATTATGCAAATCTGACTTGTTGTATCTTGTTGTGCTGCCACGCGAGTCTCTACTGGCTCGCCTGTCGAGTCCCCACCCATCAAAGTAGATGGACTCAATTGCTTTTTCAATATTTTTTACAAAGATGTGGAGCGTGGATACAGTGGAGGGATTGTTTCTTGGCGATTCTCCTGGAGGACCTGACCCAAGTGGCTGCTGCCCTCATGACCCGACTCAGTGGATCAAGCAGAAGATACATAAAGGAAATGAAGTCATTCATTTCTGATGGATGAATGAAGACATACCCCTCAGCTCCTAGCAACAATCTGCACAAATCTCCTGATGTGTGTGAACTGTTTGGAGGCGGAGGCAGACTGCATGGTTTCCACTGGGTGAGTACACTACTGAGAACGTCAACATTACACAGCAGGATGTAGCCAGCGTGGTGCTGAGAGAGTGCTGCATATAGGTGTGTCCTGTCCTTCAGGGCCCACACCACCTTGTTTCAGTAAAACGTCTGACGCACGGTGAAACGCATCCATTGGCATGCCAAGCCTGTAGGTGGCAGTAGTTCCCAAAACCGTCAGCGTCTTTGCCGTAAAGGCCATAAAACATTCTTTGGCAGGCAACAACTTTGTTGAATGTCGTCTTTTGTCTGAACGTGGCCCGTTTATACTTAGGTCAGTTCCACCTGAGCTAGGATGTCTTTACACCGCCTTCTCGAGAACGCAAAAGTGGGTGGGGCTAAAGGGGCACAGAGCCGTGGTGTCCTTCCTAAGCGCTGCAAGTTAATGAACAAAAAAAGGCGAGAGTTGTTGCTTTTGGTGTCTCTGACATGAAGCACACAGCTTCCTGTCCTTTCCACTGGGCAGCATGCTGCCTGGGCTCCTCTCACGTCCAACAGAACTCACAGCAGACGGTCAGTCGGGTCCGAGCTGCAGCCAGAGAAGATGTTTATCCCACTGCTTCCAGCTGCTAGTGAATCATGTATGCGGGAAGCTGCCGCTGGCTGATTCTGCCCACCTATCAGAGGCTCCCACTAGTAGGTAGGCGTGAACTTCAGCGGCTCTGCATGAACAACGCACAGATAGCGCTAATATAAACACGACGACCCCGCCAGGGCTAGACCGAGCTGACCCGTGTGGAAATGCGATACGACATAGAGAAGTAGATGAGTGTAAACACAAGCCGCACATGTGACGTCAGAGTGTTTTTGTTGTGGGCAGTGACATGGCGAAACCTAAAACCCGGTTATTTATGTCCACAGCAAACGCTGAGAACGTACATTCAGCAAATCTCCACTTTGGTCGGCGTTTTTGAAAGAACTGCTTTTGGCTTTGATGATCTTAACTTTTATGTTGATGACTGGCCAAAACGCTGAAAACTACCTTTGTTTTGTTGGGGTACCCGGCTACTAGGGGTGTCAGTCTTACAACTCATGATTCAATTTGATTCCGATTCACAGGGCGACAATTCGAATCGGAATCGATTCTCTATCCAAATCAAGTCACAAACAATACACTGAGTCACACTGAGTGTCAGTTCCAGGATTTACTACTTTCTTCTGTAGTTAGTGAGCCCTGAATGTGATTGAGGAGCGGGTTGCTCTGGAAATCCACCCTAACCCGGACCCTGACAAACACCAGGAAATATTTGGAGTCTCAAGTAACAAAACTTGGAAATCTTGGACTGATTCAGAATCTTTATAAATAAGAATCTTTATTCGGACATTCAACAATGTTTCCGGCACCTCTACCGGCTACGCGTGACCGGGGTCTGAGAGACAGCTTTATCCATCTTCCACCTCTGACCCCTGCCCAGTACACCTTGGACAACAACTAGAAAGTTCAAATGGAAGAATCTACTGCTTATATTATCCGTTTAGTTCACACTCACTTCAACACTCGTTAATATCCGGAGGACTTGGGTCCACATGCGTCTCCTTGATATTTAGTCTTAGGATTTCTTTTATCCATGTTGCTGTTTGCACAACACCACCAGGTATTTTGTCCCTTTTTCACAGCCTTTTTATTCTCATACCTTTTACATTTTTACATATAATGCTGTTTGCAGCAACGACATAAAGAAAACATTTCAACTCTGAGTATGCCTTGTACTTGTTGCAGTCTTACTGAAGTGAAATGGACTGAATGGACTGACAGAAACATGAAGACTTACAGCAAGCAGCTGGATGTTGGTGTAGGTGTCCAAGCTGAGGGCGGACAGAGAGCTGCAGTCCTGCTTCAGGACCACACGCCGAGAACATCTGCTGCTCTGGTTCTTCAGGAAAGCTGTGAATAAAACCAGGGACACCACTGAAGGAACAACCCTAAATGGTGTTTCCTTTATTCCTACTCTGATGTCAGATTGCAGCAAACAAACAGAATGAGAATAATCAGAAAGCAGCCATCAACCATTTCTATCTAAAAGATGCGGCTCACTCGTTTAATCAATTCATGTGCTGTGCTCTCTAGTGAATGTAAGTTGTACTCGGGGACTTCAGACCACAGGATCTACAGTCTTATTTCCTGACATGTGGACATCTCTCCTCTGATTGGCTAACAGCAACACAACTCTACCACTGACTCTGCTCTGCAACGTTGATGTTTTATCTCCACAAAAAACACGAGCATGGAGGAAGTCTGCTGTGTGGTGGAGTTGCTAATGCTGACAGTTAGCTTCTACTAGCCGAGACGTTCTCTGCTGTTTCCTGGACGCTAAACCAACAACAGCCTTCCCCGTCGTGAGTCAGGATGGGTGAGTCCATGAATGTTCAGTGACAGAGTGACGTAGATCTGTCAGGATTTTCTAATCCTAGAGTTTCACCCTTTATCAGAAGCTAATGCAGGAGATAGGTGTAGGAGACTATTTTCATGTTCAGCCTGCATGAGAAACTAAAGAGTGACCCATTATAATCAGAAATAATCATTAATCATCTTTCAGTGATACACGCCTTTAAAGTGTAGTGCAATTGTTGATTCAAACCTACTTTGGTGTTTTATCAAGATTTTAAATTCACCTTTTAATACTGAGGAGGTTTTTTGGAAATAAAGAGTAACACTAAAAAAGTACTGTATTATTTTCAGGGGGAGGCATTGGTACCCAAATGGCAAGCAACACCCTGCCCAGAGGAAGATAAGCTGTAAATTCAGTCTCTGAGTCGGCATTAAAGCCTGGACAGAACGTGGTTGATGTGCCGCTCTCCGATGAGCCCACGGTTACTGAAAGCAATCCAGCTCAATGGGTTATTTAGCTAATATGCAGTCAAATTTAAATGTACAACAACATGGATTTGTTGTGAACCGAAAGTTCAACGTTGAAAGAATGTTATTGTAATTTAATGAGGTTAATATGTAAACCGCAGAGGTAAGACTTTTAGGACATGTGGAATAACTGCTGTTGCTGAGCGGTGGCTAATCTTTTACCTGTGGGGCTGTTCACACAGTCAGGAGTGACACCAGGACCTGGGAGATGGAAGGTCCCCCTCTGTCCACTGGAGTCTGTTGTCAGCAACAGGTCACCGTACTGAAACAGCAAATCGCCAGCAGTCATCACTCTGTTACAATAAACAACCTGCAAGAGTCAACACACTCTAGGCCACACGTGTCAGACACAAGGCCCGCGGGCCAGATGTGGCCCACGGAGCATTTTTATGTGGCCTGCGAGATAAATATCAAAAATATATTAAAACTGACCCGCTGGCCGATTTTACCGCAAAAACTACAACTCCCATGATGCTTTGCGGTCTTAGCGGAGCCGAAGCGCTCCCTCCTTTGCATTTTTTCCAGCGTCTGCTGCCGGTTAGTGATGGGAATTCCAGCTCTTTTTAGCCGGTTCTTTTGGCTCAGCTCACCAAAAAGAGCCGGCTCTTTCGGCTCCTCAGATTTTCTGTTGCGTAGAGTTCATTTATAACCAAAATAACGCAAAACTATATGTAAAATTATTCACTAATGTAAAAAAATGCAATATATCAAATATTTATAATTTCTATGGATTTAATAACTGAACACTTTAAGGAATCTCCACTTTCCGACTGCTGGTGCTCATTTTCTCACCGTCTTCGTCACACTCTCCTCTCTCTCGCTCGCCTTTTTCCTCCTCCTCATTCCCTCTCGTCTCCCTCTTAAGAGCCGGTTCGTTTGCGACCGACACATCACTACTGCCAGTGTCTTCAGCTCTGCTGTCTCGGACAAACTAAACACCCCTCTCTCTCAGCGCCGAGTTTGCTCAACTATTTTCCGACGTTGAAGCCCAGAAACTGAGATTTTAACCGCTCAGTAATGTGTTCACGACTGAAAGAGAACGTTTTCCAACTAACTTCTGGACAGAGCTGATATAACTCCAGCGAGCAGCGACACGCTCAAATCAGCACAGCTCTGTGGCTGCTGTAGTTGTTATTTTTCCTCCCCGACACACAACAACGCGGTCAAGCTGCTCAGACATGTTCATCAGCACAAACCTATGTGAGCACCTGTTGTCATCTAATTTTGTCATTATTATGATGAAGATGAACAAAACAACAGGAGTCTCCTCCTCAGCTCAGATCAACCCCATGATGCAGGTATCTGGCTGGAACAGGTGAGCATCACAGTAAACCTGTGGAGCAAACTGAGCTTTAAATATGTTGGTTTTATGCTCTTTTTCTGCTCCAAAACATGAAAGTTAACAGGTGAGATGTTGCATTTTCATTTAAGATAAAATGATATTTTTATTTTGTTGTTGGCCCGTGAGAAAAGATTTAACCTACAGTAAACAGGAAGTGGAAAGGCTGCAGATAGATGAATAGAATAGAAAATCCCTTTATTGCTCCTCAGTGGGGAAAGCTAGACGTCACAGCAGTGATGACACGTATTACAGGAGAAAAAAGGAGAATAAAAAATAAGAAAAATGAATAAACAAGAAAACATAAATCCTGAATAGATTTTAAAAATGCTGAATATACCACAAGTAATGAATGCCACTGATGCCTTTTATTTAAAACTGACTTGCTCGTGTGTAATTTGGTTATTCCACATTCAGTGTTCATGCAAAAATAAGTTTGTTTCCAAATTTAAAGGTTCAAAATTGCATACATGTTGATAAAGAAAATGTGCAACTTTGCCGTCACTTTTTCAAAAAATATTAAGTTTGTCCCGCGACTTCGTCCCAGAGTTTCATTTCGGCCCCGTGTGAGTTTGACTCCCCTGATCTGGAACAAGTTTCATGGCGGGTGTCAGTTACAGATCAGTGCCAGACGGTTCAAGATGCCGAGTGAAGACGAGTCATCCACAGTAAGTTGGTAAACAGATAAGTTACTTCTTCTATTACCAACAACTTGAGACTTTTTTAGAGCCAGCTATTTTTCTACTTGACTGTTACCTTTCATTTGCCTTCTCAGTGGCCTAGTGGTATCCACCCTGGGACTGGGAGATCAGCGTTCAAATCCACGGTCGGGTCATAACAAAGACTGTAAAAATGGAATCCAATGCCTCGCCTCTTAGCTTTAGGGGGTTGGATTGGGGGGGTTAAACCCCCTAATAGCTCCTGAGCACAGCCACTGCTGCAGCTTACCGCTCCCCTTGGGGCTGGGTCAGACACAGTGATGTAATTTCACCAGTGTGTGATGACGACTTTAGGGAGCCTAAGTCACGCCCATCTACTTCCGGACCACAGGTCCCCAGAAGAACGACAAAATGAATGCAAGTCAGCGGGACTCAAAATGCTATTTTCTAATTCCACTTGTTATATTCCATGGGTTTTCACATATGATTCACATAGTGATATAAACAAAATGCATATTTTTAAACGAGGGGAAATGCTATTTTAGGTTTTGTGTGAAAATTAGTCCAGGACCACAAATGCGCTTCACGAAAGTGACGTCATCGAACCAGACACGGAGAAAACTCAGGGAAAAGGGCGGTAAGTTCAGCAAACTTCCCACAGGAGGAAAGAACCACCACAAAGCTGGTCTTGTTGTAAGTAGCAGCTACGCTAGGGGAGAGGAGGTTCTGTGGTGATGTCACATATGCGACATGCTGATGTCTGATTTATAGTCAGGCTAATTACAAACGTTTACAAGCTGACGAATCTCAAAGTACGTGACTGGCATGTTCAAAACACCCATCGTTACTTTTGATTCAAATATAAGTACAACACAAGAGTGATCGAGGGCGTAAGGCACAGCAGATTAGAAAATAACTCATTTAGCCCCGTTGACTTGCATTCATAATTTGTTCTTCTGGGGACTCACGAGCCGACCGGAAAGGGAGGAGACTTAGGCTCCCTGTGGGACTTTAACTTTAGCATCGTTAACTTAACGTTAGCTTCTAGCCGATAACAGTTAAATAACAATAACACCGTAGCTTCTTAGGGGTAGAAGAAATTGCGGACCCCGTGACAGTAATCCCAGTAGAACTGTGAACGTACTGTAACAATGAACACGATGTAACAGTCGTCACACTGTAGCAATCACTACGATCACGAACCATTAACACACTAGATCATTCGCCCCTGGCGTAGACACGAATATGTAGACACCTCATTATGTGCTGGAGAGCGTAACAGCTTCGCCGCCATATTGGTTGGGTCTCTTTGCTCTCCAAATCCAACTAGAGTCAACGCAGAATGACGGCTGCAAAAGCCATGATTGTATTTTAATTTATTTTATGTAATTATATTTATATTAGAACTGCCATGCAATATCTTGTGTCTGATTTTGTGAAAAACATAATTAAATGTGTTCTTTAGTTAGCTAAACGCCTTCCTCAGTAGAAATAAATGCACTGGGGGCGAATGGAGACCCATCCAAGATGGCGGCCAGCCACTACAGTAGCTCCAATAGGCAGCACCAGCCCACGGGGGGTCTACGTATGCCTGTGGTCCATGGCACCTAAAAGTTTGACCTCTGACTTCAACTACCACCAAATCACTCTCAAACCAAACAGCATGGAAAAGGACATCTTTGATTCTGATTTGACATTTTTAGTTTCTCTTTCTTGTTTTTGCTTTAATGATCATATTTAGCACTATCATAAGCAGTTTTTAAACGTATACATTGAATTGCATATGCAGGATTGTTTTTCATAACTAATTTTTACGACACTGGACCCGTTAATACTTGTTCCGTCCAACTAAGGCCCAATCTCAATACTCTCCCTGTGGTCTTCAGCCAAGTGCATTTGGAGAAAGTGCGCTGGAAGGCTTCGAGTGCGTAGTACACAAGTGTGCAAATAATTACAGAATTGAGACAGGGAGCATTGCGTATGCCGGGATGCTGGTTGCTGTGATACTTTGTTTAAAAACATTTATTAAAAACTTTCAAGCAAACAACCAAACAATTATTTGAAATAAATTAGCATTCATCGCTGCTTTGTCTTAAAGTTTCAGAGCATCAACTAATTGTTCTAAAATTAACTACTTTCATTAGAAAATACATATTTTCGGATATGGAACTTGAGCCCTTTCTCCTGCAGCAATGGATTGTGGGTAATATACTTCACTCAAGTCTGCATCGCTGCAGACTTGAGTGAAGTGTGGATCATGGGTGCAAAAGGGGCATGATCAGCATATGCATTTGAGAATCGAGACACCCTACGCACTCGCAGCCGTGGTCGGGATCGTGCAATTGAAGGGCACGAGGGCGAGTATTGGGATTGGGCCCAAGACTCACTTGGTATCCACGTGAGTCCTGGACTCCTGCCGGGGCTGCCTGATCTGAGTTTTCCATCCTCCACAGAAAAGGAGCAAACAGTTTAAAGAGCAGGTCAAAGTTGGTATCAGTTGGAAGAGCTGGAGAGGGATGGGACAATCCATCAATACCTACGGAGAGGAATATCACACAGCAGGTGAGACAAACCCCTTTTAGAAAAATAAACCTGGAAGTAAAACAAACTAGAGAACTTTAATCTGGTTTTAATCATGGTTTACTGTTTAGGTTTTAACTTAGTTTATACGTCCTGATTGATTCTTTATTTACACATAGCTGAGTGTGAGAGCTTTTCTCAGTTGATGTTTTCTATCAGTCATCTAGAGACCCGACACACACTGCGCAGTGCTAAAATTAAAGTTATTAAATAACAATTTAATTAGGGGACTGGTCACCTGTCCAGGTGCGTCACCACCTCTCACTTAATAACAGCTGAAGATGGGAGCCAAGTCCCCATCACCCTTAATGGGATCAAGTGGGCCTAGGTGGACGCGGTCAAACTGACTAAATTCAAACAGCTTAACTGGTTCTTCCTAAGGAATTCTGGTGTCTTACGATTCTGTGATCGGATGCAGAAGATGTTGGCGTTGTCCTCCTTCTGGACCGCTGACTGCAGCTCTGAGTAGCCATTCACGTTGGTCCTTAGAGTGTAGTATGCTGCCTCCTGGTTACACAGCTGCTGGCTGCCACTGCAGAGTTGCAGAGACAAGTCAGGCAGCTTTTGTGTAGCTTAATAAGAACACACAGCAACATTCAATAGGAAGAGATGTAATTATCAGGTCTCAGAGCCTATTTAGGTTCTTCTGCTCCATGTGGCTCCTTAATCACCACCACTGTGTGATGTAGCTGAGCGCCACACCTGTTCCCAACCAGAGCAGCAGGGACCTTCCAGCAACATGAACCAAGCAGAGCAGAGGAGCCGTTCTAGGTGGAACCCAGCCAGTCCACTAACCTCCTCACAGAACCGAGCGAACAGCTGGTGAACAGAACCACCTCCCCTCCACACTCTGGGTCACAGCAGCAGTTGGTGTCACACACACCCAGGACCTCATCACAGGGACACAGGCTGTCAGCTGATGGACGGACACACACACACATTAAACCGCAGCGTGGACACCCTGTCACAGTAGCAGAGGAAGCGTGGACGGTTACCGCTGGTCTTGGCAGACAGCAGATGGCCCGAGACAGGCAGCGGCTCGGCGGCTACGGGGGAATTCTCCGTTCCGCCGGGGCTCGGTGTGGACTCGAACTCTGTGTAATTATCCGTAACGCTGTGACTAAAGTTCGGCTCAGTCGTGTTAAACGCGCCCGTTCCGCCGGGGCTCGGTGTGGACTCGAACTCTGTGTAATTATCCGTAACGCTGTGACTAAAGTTCGGCTCAGTCGTGTTAAACGCGCCGTTAGTTGTACTTTGGTTCGAAGCGACAGAAGTAATCGAGAGAAACAACCAGAGAGACTTTAATATGGAGAAAACAGCGGCCGAGACCGCCATGTTGTTTAGCGTTGCTATGGTTCTTCTTCTACTTCTTCCTACTCTTTTTCTTCTTCGTTGGTATTGATTCTAATTACAGCTGTTTTACCGCCGCCTTGCATTCATATGTGGAACTGCTGTTGAAAAGCACCAGCGAACTGAACCGCACAGAAAGGATTCGTTCACAGACTAAAAACAGACACTTTTGCTTCCTACACAAAGCAGCTCAACGTGCTTCACGTGTTACCAGGAAATCAGCTGTTTTTATACCTTCTTTTAATTCCCTCACACAAATACGGAAATAATAAAATAAAAATATGTTCCTGTGTCAATAAAAATTTTAAGTAATAACAGCCTTCACCACGTATGCGAATGTGTGAATATAATTTAAAAATGGATTTCTGCCTCACTTGATATTTTATTATTACTTATTCATACTTTTCTACGGAAGCGTATTACCGTCAGTGCAGGGAAAAAAAAAAACTCAGGACCAGGATCGCGTAATAACGAGAAATGTTCTCGTTATTACGCGATATAAAACACGTTCAAACGAGAAAGTTTCTCGTTATTACGAGATCCTTTCTTGTTAAAATTAGAAACTTTCTCGTTAAAACGTGATTTATATCACGTTTTAACGAGAACTGTTTTTCGAAATAACGTGTTCTATAACTTGTAATAATGACGTACTTTTCTATTTTTTAACCCATCGGAAGGATTCAGGGTATTTCATTCTACATTCTGTTCATAGTTTTCTCCACTAGATGGAGACACAGACTGCAGGTTTTGGCCTCCTTCAGCGTTTGACTTGTTCCACTAAAGGTGAATTACAATAGATCTCGTCTTCTCCTCTGACTTGTACGTGGCCAGGGCTATGTGTGTGTGTGTGTGTGTGGGGGGGGGGGGGGGGGGGCAGCCGACCATTCAGTTCAATCCCAGCAGGTTAAAGGTCACGTCAGAAACGTTCTTGACAAGATGCTGAACCCTTAAGTCGCCCCCCAGGAGCCATACACATTGCAGCCCCTGAGGGAGGGGTCAAATGTGGGGAAATAATTTACCCAAGAGGATCAATTAATGTATATTATTATTATTATTATTATTATTATTATTATTATTATTATTATTCCTCCACTGTCCGCTGCTGGGTTTGGCTCTTTCCCTGCTCTCACCAGGAGGGTTTCCAGCTGGACGTCTCCTCCATCAAACTCCGGAGGCCCTCTGACAGAGAGTGGATCAAGCCCAGATCTAGTGAGACTCAGCCCCTACAGGTGTCAGGTGTAAACCTGTGGCTTCCTGTCAGGTGTCTTTAACCACCAGCTGATCCTCTGCCATTGGCTGAGCGGGAGAGAACATGCAGGGGTGAGAGAACTGGCCGACAGCGCTTTTTAGGGGTTTTGGGCTGGATGTGAATGAAACACCAAAGGTTTTTGGTTCACTAAGAAGCTTACAAGCATCAGCAGCTGGTGATGAAAGGAGCCCTTAACCGACAAACTAAACTTTAATGGGCTCATCCTAATGAACCAGTTGTTCCGTAGCTCAGCAAAGTTCTCCTCAGTCACCCACCCTCAGCAAAAAGTAGTTTACTCAAGTGTACGATGAGTATTTGTGTTTAATCACAAAAATGGAGGCTTTTTACTTGCATCTTACTTTACTGGAGAAGAGAAGCAGCAGGTGGAGAGAACTGATGCGAACATACCATGCAGGTAACTAAAAACCAGTCACACACACACACACACACACACACACACACACACACAATAGATAGACCCACCCACCACCATCATCAAGACAGTTCTTATCCACCACCGTAATGATCCTTTGGAACTAATTACTGTGTGTGTGTGTGTGCGCGCGCGCGTGCGTGCATGTGTGTGTGTGTGTGTGTGTGTGTGTGTGTGTGTGTGTGTGTGTGTGTGTGAGAGACAAGAGAAAAGTCTAATTAGAGAATTAATTGGGAAGCAAACAGCTTATTGAATGGGTCCTGTGGTCATTAGGTGAACCCGGCTCTCACCTGGTTCTTAGGTGAGCCTCACTCAACTGGTTCTGATGATTCTGGGTCTTATCAGATGAAACCGGTTCAGTCCAGTGTGTTCATGTACAAAGCCAGTTAAATGTGATTTCTGATTGCCGCTCTACTTTCCTCCTACAGAGAGAACAGTTTGTTATTTTGGTTTTCTTCTGGAGGACAGACTGGAGCTACTGGATTCCAGTCTGCTCCAGGAAACCTGCATCAAGTCTGATTGGGCTGCTTCTTCTTGTTCTTCCCCTCATGGAAACAGACACGAGTAAACCTGTCTGATGTCTCTGGAGCTGTGTTGGTGCCCCTCAGTGGTTCCCACAGGAAATGCAGCTAGATGAAACCCTGCTGCAAGTTCTGTCCACTTCCTACTCCGCATCTTTACTGGTCACTCTGATGTGTGTGTGTGTGTGTGTGTGTGTGTGTGTGTGTGTGTGTGTGTGTGTGTGTGTGTGTGTTGCATATCATGTTGCAGTGCCACAGAGCACCACCTCTGCTCCTCTAATCCTCTCATCCTGCTCATCTGTGTCTCCAGCTCCATCTATCTGCCAGCTTATCTCTCCATCTTTCATTAGGTCATTGTCTCTGCTGCTCCCGCTTCAGACACCACACCTGCTGATATCCGTGTCCTTCACAGGTGCACAGCAACACATCAAACACCTTGTCCCCTACTGTATCTCAGCAGCTCAGCTTTCCCGCTCTGACTTTTAGTAAATAAGATGACTGTGTGTCCAGCAGAATTCACCGGAAGCGTTTGCATTGAAAAGAAAATCAATCTTAAATTGGGGTAATTTGTAAAGCAAAATAACAGAAATAATAAATAATTCCCATGTTGAATATTGATGTTTTTATTTGCTGAGTCTTTTATTTTCTGTGCCTTGATAACATCATGTTATCTTCAAGTTAAAACTCAGACTCACACCCTTCACTGACACACACCGGCACTGTGGATGTGTGTGTGTGTGTGTGTGTGTTCTTTCTAGTGATGTGACGACAGTTCCCTTCTAGAAATGTGTTTTTGACTTTTCATTGCTTAACATCTACGTGATAATTGAACGTGTTCATAAACACAGGTCGGTTCTGTCTGAATGGGGCAAGAAACGGGAAAAGCAGCTTAGACGAGACAAATCGGGCGACAGTGAAGGTCTTAATGCTCGAATCTCAGTACCTGAGAACAAATGATTTTTTAAAATGCTCCTCATTATAATTGGACCAGTGTGTTTACACAGGCAAATAAAGAACATACATTAGCGTGTGTATCTGCTAGCCGTGGGTCAGTTGAAACTAATTCATCTGACCAAGTGATGAAGTGAAGCTCTGGAGTTTTTCAGTGTGCTTTGATGCTTCAGTAAGGTAAGGCCATTCACACGTCGATGACATAAATGCAGGATGAAAGGTGACATCATGAAGGAGCAGGGCAGAATAGACTATTGATCTCGCAGTGGGGAAATTCACTTGCTGCAGCAGCACCAACATATAGTTAGAAGAAAAATAACAACAAAGGCACATGTGTGTACACATAGGCAGTAAGCTGGTATTGCAGCCTTCATCCACTAAAAACCACGAATAAAAATACAAAAAACTTGGGTTCCAAGTAAGCAGCGTACTATAAGAGACACAGACATACTATGTAAATCCGGTACTGCATGAACACATACTGAGTATTGCATTGGTGGTGTTGTGTACCAGGTTCATGCCAGTACCAGTTAAACTGAGGAGTTATGCACTCTTACTGCAGAGGGGATGAATGACCTACGGTAGCGTTCTGTTTTACACCTGGGATGTCTCAGTCTGCCTCTGAAGGAGCTGTCCATGGTCTCCACAGTGGAACGCTGTGGGTGGGAGGTTGTTTTTTTAAACGGAGGTCGTCTTCCCCAGCATCCTCCTTTCACACGTCTCCTCAGCTGCATCCAGTGGGCAGCCCAGAACTGAGCTAGCTTTGCTAACTAGCTTGCTCAGTGTCTTCCTGTCTCGGTCAGAGCTGCCTGCACCCCAACAGACCACAGCAGAGTGGATAACAGATCTAGGGGCGTAGGGGTGCCGCAGGTGATGGAAAACAAGATGAAATAAGCCGGAATATTTTCTCCCACAGCTCAGCTCTGTTAGAAATAAGCTGATGTCTGCTTAAGCTGGACAGTGTCCAATATAAAAAAGTATTAACAGATAACTAATCTTTAATGAAAAGGGAATATTAATCATTTTAATTTAGATTTTTTTTATTTCTAAGGTTTGGATGTCTGTGAACATTACAGAATAATCTGATTGGTGTAAGGAATACATGATATTATTACTAACAGGTCTGGATCTAAAGCGGGTCGGTCTGAGGCATGAAACTCTGCCCTGGGCCTAAAGCCCTGCACATAGATTTAGTTTTTATAAACAACAACAAATAAATAACAGCAGCTGGATTCTGCTTTGTTCCTTAAATTGAGTCACATAGTTTTGCAAGTTCTGTATGCGTTCAACAGCGAGCTCTGCCAGCTGATTGGTTTTCTGTTGTACCAACCTGTGATGTAGGTCGGTGGTCTTTATCAGTACTCGGTATCAGCAACTACATCACACAGGAATTATGTGGTATCATGTTTCCCTACTCACACCCCAGGTGGATGACTTTGTCCTTTGAGGTATTCCTGATTCAAGAACGGTTGACACCAGTTTCCAGAAGCAGCAGCAGAGTTTTGAAGTCACCAGGTAGAGCTAACAGGAGGATGTCTACTCAACTCTGACTGGTTCTGCTGGCTGGCCTCGTGCTCTCAAACAATTTGCTAAAAGATGGACGGTGTTTGGTTTCTCTGATGTCTAAGTCAGGCATACTAATCATCCATCCATCTATCCATTTTCAGCCATTTATCTGGAGTCGGGTTGAGGGGGCAGTAGCCTAAGCAGGGAGGTCCAGACTTCCCTCTCCCCAGCCACTTGGACCAGCTCCTCCGGAGGAGTCCCAAGGAGTTCCCTGACCAGCCATGAGACATTGTCTCTCCAGCGTGTCCTGGGTCTTCCTTTAGGCCTTCTCCCGGTTGGACGTGCCTGGAAAACCTCACCAGGGAGGCATCCAGAAGGCATCCTAACCAGATGCCCATGCCACCTCAACTAGCTCTTCTCGATGTGGAGGAGCAGCGGGTCTACCACGAGCCTCTCCTGGATGACCGAGCTTCTCACCCGATCTCTAAGAGAGTCTAGCCACCCCGTGGAGAAAACTCCTTTTGGCCGCTTGTACCTGTGATCACATTCTTCCGATCACCACCCAAAGCTCGTGACCATAGGTTAGGGTAGGAACATAGATCAACCAGTAAATCAAGAGCCTCACCTTCTGGCTCATGATGTCTGAGTGAGGCATACTAATCAGAATCAGATAAACATGTCAAGTCAGACCAGTGAACTCAAATTAGACTCTAGAATACTAAGCTGGTTTCCAGAGGAGTTCCTGGAAGACTCAATGACTGAAAAGTAGGACCCAAGAAGGCTTGTGGCAGCAGGAAAAGCCCAAAACATCAACCGCCCAACGCTGTGCAGAAAGCAGAGATCAGGTGTTTGTGCTGATGAACAGAGGTTGAATTTGACCCAACACACTGCTGTGCATCATGTATAAACCACTCTACTTTGGTCCCACTGCTTCACAAGTATTGCGGTTTGTTCAAATGAAACTTCACCAACGTGAGCTGAGCTGCCAACTCATTTATCCCCAAACCTCCACATCATCAGACCTGCTCTGTTCCTGTAATGAAGTTTAATCCTGTTAACATGCTGGATATGGGCGTAGGAATGCTCCACAGCCACTACATACCATTTGAATACAGTGAGAATATTGATCACACTGCATTATTGCACCATTTATTAAAAAATTATATGTTTAATGTTAGAATAACACCAGATTTTCATGGAGTGGACCATCACCTTTGCTCTACAGTGAGAATTATCCATCACAGCTGGGACCTTGGCTTTGCCAGTTTTCCTCCCAGTTATTACTGGTTATTACTGCCAATAGAAATATGAAAACCCAGTGCCTGATTTATCCCGAGCCACTGTGTATGCAGAGCTTGGCTCATTTCAATCACAAATGGCAGCATCTTGATTTACACTGGCCATTGTTTAATAGCGCCAGTCGAGCCAAATTTAAACTAGTCAGATTAATCAACCAAACATTCAATACCCTCTGCTCAGCCGGCCAGCAGAAAGCGCGCACCGCTTCGCAGTTTGAATTTTCCGGGAGATTTCTCTATTGATCGACAGACCGATGATTTGTGAGATACATTGTGTGGAGATCAATATGTGGCTAGTCAATAGCTCACAGGAAGAAATTAAGTGTGGTGACATGAAGGCCAAAAAGTCAAGTTTGCATGTCGTCTCTTATGAACTGATGGAGACGTAAAGCCTGTATCAGGCACGCCTGTGGACTCAAACCGGCAACCTTTCAGCCATAATCTGCCAAAACTGCAAGGTCACAACAAGTAACCAAAGAGCTTTAATCAAGTGGAGCGGCAGAACGCCTGAGGAGAGAGAAGGGGTGGCCGGTGACTTTTATACCAAACAGACGTGTGTGTGTGTGTGTGTGTGTGTGTGTGTGTGTGTGTGTGTGTGTGTGTGTGTGTGTGTGTGTGTGCATGTGTGTGTGTGCTTGTGTGTGTGCGTGTGTGTGTGTGTGTGTGTGCGTGTGTGTGTGTGTGTGTGTGTGTGTGCATGTGTGTGTGTGCTTGTGTGTGTGCGTGTGTGTGTGTGTGTGTGTGCGTGTGTGTGTGTGCTTGTGTGTGTGCGTGTGTGTGTGTGTGTGTGTGCGTGTGTGTGTGTGTGTGTGTGTGTGTGTGTGCATGTGTGTGTGTGCATGTGTGTGTGCGTGTGTGTGTGTGTGTGTCAGAGCGGGGCAGATGATGAATGGTGTTGGTTTAGTCCACCATCACGGACGAGTGTTTCATGTCGGGGTCAGCTCTAATAGAGGGGAGGGGAGACCTTTGACCTTTATTAAGGTGGTTTCCACTTAAAATATTAGAACTAAAGCTTAACAGATACAATACCACAAATGCCCCCTGCCCTCCCAAACTGACAGAAGTTCGTTCAGTCCAACCTTTGCTCCTCACATTACACCAGAGATTTTCTTGGATTGTCTATTTCAATAAATGACAAAACATTTGTACAAGTGGCTGCAGAAGATTTTAGACCAAAGTTATGTTGGTTTTTGGCCTGTAATCCGGTCCTCGGCCAGCTGCAGCAAAGGTCAGAACCCCAGCATCTTTCCCGGCCATTGTCTCACGAGGAGTCGCTCGGAAAGCACTTCAAGTTACGGCAATCACATTAACTTTACCACAGCTGTACTTTAATAAAAACAAGGAGGAAGTGATTCAGTTTTAACTTGATTTAAATGTAAAAAGCCCAGAAATGATGCACAGTAACCTGGACACTCTGGACCGTCTCCAAAGAGTAACCATAGCTTTAGCTGACATCATCTCATATGGGCTACTCCTTTCTGGGACACCACACCCTTAAGTCTGGACATCTTCCTGATAAATGAAAACCAGTGTGATAGACACTGCTGCAGGACAAGTGTTATTCTAACTGAAACAGATCATGAAATCATTGGATGTTTGTGCTTAAACAAGTCTTTATTTAGATCAAAACAATTCCAGCTTACTTGAATTAAAGGTATAGAACACGGAAAAATACATTTTTTTATCACTATTTCTGATGATAATGGGTCCCGCTGAGTTTTTCATGCAGGCTGAACATGAAAATAGTCTCCTACACCTATCTCCTGCAGTGAAAGTGTAGGATTAGAAAATCCTGACAGATCTAGGTCACACTGTCTTACTCACACATATTGACTCACGGCAGGGAAATCTGTTGTTGGTTTGGCATCCAGGAAACAAAAATGTTTCTGCTAGTAGAAGCTAACAATTAGCATTAGCAGCAACACAACACAGCAGAACTCCACCAGACTTGTGTTATTTGTGGAGAGAAGACATCAGCGTTGCAGAGCAAACAGAGTCAGCGCGCACACACACACATACACACACATACATTCCTACATGTAATGTAACCTAATCTAAAATGGTCTGTATTAAGGTTGTCACGGTAAGAAAATTTAACCTCACGGTTATTGTGACCAAAATTACCACGGTTTTCGGTATTATCACGGTATTTTTTAAACGTGCTACATTTTCACACAATTAAATAAATCCTGTATGTCAGGAAATACAGTATTGTCCACCGTTTGTGTCTAAATTTTGCCTAAAATGTGTTATTTTGTAATTATGTTGTTTATTTGTTTACATTTTTTCCCTTTAGTCTTTAAAATACCAATATTTGCCCATAACGTCTTATTTTATGTCTGTTTGATGTCATCATTTTAAAAATATTAGATCAGATGATACTCAGTACTCAAGTAGCCTTCTAATCAGATACTTTTTTTACCCTTACTTGAGTAATAAACCCTATATCAGGAAAATATTGTCCTCGGTTTGTGTCCTTCCAGTGAGCTTTGCAGATGTGGGAAAATGTCATCAGGCAGTAATCATTGTTAAATTCATAATTATTCTCGGAGAGAGACCAACTCCTATCTGTCCCTGGGAGTCCCGTAATGCATAGCGTCATTTCAACATGAGGGTGTCGGCGACACGTTTTATATGCAGGTAGCGGCGCTGCGGCTGCTTTATATAGCGACTCGTTGCGTTCTCCCTCGACCCAAATCCTCGGATCACGCATTTTAGCTAACATGCTCACGTTAGCTTGCCTTGCGTTGACTGTAGAGTTGTGGGTGATGGTCACGCAGATGTGTCATGAGATTTGAAGCGTTGCTGCCTTTCACAGACACTTTTTCTGCACGTGCTGCAAACAGGATAGCCGTCTTCTATCAGCTGTCCCTCGGCATTCTTCAAATATCCAAAAGATGCCCGTACTTCCGACTTTGTCTTCTTTGAGGGATAAAAAATGTCCTCCTGAGTGCTGCCCACGGACGTAATTTTGGGGGACAGGGGGGACATGTGTACCCCCACCCCCACCACCACCACACACACTTTTTCCAAAGTCAAGTTTTGACCCCTGCACTTTTTACCATCCAAAAACAATATTACGCTATATTAAATTGACACTGGTTGAGCTCTAGGACCAAGCGGAAAGCAACCGTTTGTGTTGAAGCCTGTTTCCCATTAGAGCATATTGTTAAGATCCCCCCCCCCCCCCCCCCCCCCCGTGTCCCCCCCACTTCTAAAGTGAAAATTACGTCCTGAGCGCTGCCGTCTCCTCCTTTGGCCATTATTTCAACTTTAGCTTCAAGAAAGTTTTGGTTGTAAACAACAAAGTGTGCATGTGCCACCGGCAACTTCAGCAGATGATACGGTGGCTGGTAAGGGTCACCGCGCCTACACCTTAGCCACGGTAAACCCACCAAGATAATATAGTTTTTTAAAAAACAAGACGGTTATTATTATTGTCAACTTTTTTTTTTACCAGGGTTTACCACTACACCGGCTACAGTGACAACCCTACCTGATCTGTCTGCTTTGATCTATTTTGAAAACTCTGATCAAAAATAAATGAACAATTCCCATCCTCGATAACAATGTGAACGAAAAAGTTTGTTTACCTTTAACAAAAATAAATTAGCTTGTGCTTAGAATAAAAAAGCAGAGCAAACATAATTTAGTAAATAATCCTGCATTCAGGATAAAAAGTGCAATATGTACTCATCCACTATTGAGAGATTTTTGTGCAAGAAGATGAGTCCATCAACACCGTTTGGTGCAAGGCGAGACCGGTTTGCACTAACAATGTCCCCAGCAGTGGAGAAAGTTCTCTCACTAGGAATTGAAGTCCCTGGGACACAGAGGAGCCGTTTTGCCACTTTTGCTACATGAGGGAACTTATGCTCATTGGTCTTCCACCACCTGAAAGGATCAGCATCAACGCCAATGGAGTCTGCCAACCTGTATGAAGCAACTTCATCCTCGACTACCTGGGCAAGAGTTTTGACCTGATCTTGTTTTTTAAAAGCCTCCCCAAATAGCTCTGCCTTTGCCGTCTTCTTTGGAGGGGGAGAGGCTGACTCTTGTCCCTCTGTGGGTGGCATCGTCTCCGGCTCCAGTTGTCTCTGGAAAAACAATGACTTTTTTAATATATAGAATAACAGCTGTTAATGTTTATATGTTGCTCCTGTGAACTCAGTGTAATTGCCACAACAGAGAAAAGCTAAATTGCTGTTTGATCGTCGACAGATCTGTACAAGTATGAAATGTTAAAACCTCTATATACATTTTTAACAAAAAATAAAATATAAATTCAGCCATGGATTCACAGGAAATATGATCAACATACCTGTGGTTCATTCTCCAGAATTTCTGTGGCAAGATCTCTGTAGAGTCTGTCAAGGGAGGCTTCATCATGTGAGGGCAGGGATTTAAACCTGGGATCCAGGGCTGTGGCTTTTTGGAGGTACTTCTGAAGGTCAGGGTCGGTGTACCTTTTATCCAGGTCCTGTGCGATGGCTTCTTTTGCCTCTTTGATACCTGCACTGTCTTCACCTCCAGGGGGCATGCACTTGAGAATCATTTCTTTCAGTTGGAGGATGAGTGAAATTTTGGGGGTTGTTTCTCTGCTCATGAGTGTGGTCACAGTTTTTAGAGGTTTGAGAACTTCAGTTAGTTGTTCTGCCATTTTTTGCTCAGCATCAGTCAACATTGCAATGCCCTTGACGTGGCTCTTCAGATTCTTGTCCATTGTTAATGCAGAGTAGATGGCAGGCTGCTGTTCAACATATCGTGACAACATGTCATGTGATGTGTTCCACCAGGTTATCGCATCATGAATTAACTTGTGCTTTGGTAAGTTTAGCATTTGCTGTTTCACAGCAAGTGCTTGGTTGGCTGTGGTGCTGCGGTGAAAAAAGGTGACAACTTTCCTCACTTTCCCAAAGAGGCGGGACACACCGTTGATTGACACAGCCCTCTTTGCAGCGAGATTCACAGCAAAACAGCTAATCTGGGGTCCCAGCTCAACAGTTTCATTAACTGCATTAACAATGTTTGGAGCATTATCCGTGGCGACGGGTATAGTTTTGTTTGGCTGCTCCAGCTTCCACTCGGTGACTGCATTTTTATCTCTTCTGCTAAATGCGCACTTGTGTGGCTTTCATAGAGGGGGCGAGTCTGCAGCACGGCGCTTTTCATCTCCCAGTCCAGCATGTAGTGAGCTGTCACAGTCATGTAGCTCTGTGTTGCCCGAGAAGTCCAACTATCAGTGGTCAGTACAAGGCTTTCTGCCTTAGCCAATTCACTCTCGATGGCGTTGCGCGTTTTGTCGTAAAGACCAGGGATGATGACCTGACTAAAATGTGTGCGACTGGGCACAGAATAACGTTGGTCGAGCGTCTTCATTAAATGTTGAAAACCCACAACTTCGACTACAGAAAAGGGCTGCAGATCTTTCGCGATAAACACTCCCAATGCATCAGTTATTTTTTTATGTTTCTCTGAAAAAGCCCGGTAGGTCTGAGCAAAAGCATTCTCGATAGACAGTTGTTTTGCTGCTGGTGCCTGTGCGGCGGGTTGCTCGACTGACCTGTGTTCAGGAAGCTTTATGTCTGGATGCCTTCGCTGGATATGTTTTAACATGTTGCTCGTGCTTCCATTGGAGTACAAAATATGTGCCAAACATTGTTTACAGACTGTGTAACTTCTGTTGATTGCTTTTACTCCTTCATCTTTATACTCAGCCCCAAATCTGAAATAATTCCAAACTGATGATTTAAAAGAGCCTGGTGCCTCTTCAAACTCTTTCCTTTCAACTCCACTGCAGCTCGCCATATCCTCGTGTCTCTGCGTGCGTGGCCAGCCGCCTAACTGTGGTAGGAGTTTGTGAGTGAGGACGCGGATGCACAACGGTGATTGAACATTAACTTGGGGGTGGGCCTTCATCTACCTGGACAGGCAAACGAACATGGTGCCATGTAAAGCATGAAATAAAAGAGCAGCGCAAAATCAATGGGAGTACTGAAGTCCCGCAGGACAGGAGGCCGGATTGTCCCTTGCAGGGCGTACCGGACGGTCCGGTATTTTACCGCATACCGTTGCATACCTAATATATATATATATACATACATAGATACATACATTCATATATATATATATATATATATAGCACCGATTCATGACACAAGTAATCTCAAGGTAAGGCGAGTCACATTTCATGGACAGAGGCAATTCCTGGAGCAAGAACAGTAAATCAACGTGACAGCATGTTTAAAATACACAAATAAATGTAGATAAAATTAAATACACAAATTAAATTATGATTAAATTATCAGGTAAAATGCTAAATTAAAGGCTGAGCTGTTACAGTGCAGAATGTGCAGTAGAAGCAACAATCATTTCTAGACTAATGAACTCATGAAAGTATTTGATTTTGATTAAAAGTTACTGGAATCAGGGCACGTTTGAGGTCATGAGGAAGCTGATTCCATCTGTGTGCAGCAGTAGCTAAAAGCAGCTTCACCCTGTTTGGTTCTGACCTGGGGTTCTACCAGCTGACCGTTTTCGTAGGATCTCAGAGCCCTGCTGGGTTGCTCCAAGGAGATCTGACATGTCTTCTGTCCTCATGCCATTCAAAGTGAGCACTTTGAACCAGTGTAGATATTTAAGAACAGGAGTGATGTGTTCAGTTCTCTTGGTTCTTGCTAAGCCTCTAACAGCGGCGTTCTGAATTAGCTGCAGTTGCTTCACTGCTTTTTTGGGAAGACCAATCAAAAGACCACTGCAATAGTCCGGCCTGCTGGAGATGAACACAATAATGACATTCCAATTTATCATACTTACAGTGCATTAAAATCAGTTCATTATTACAATTAGTTAAGTTTCCTTTCAAAGGAAACCCAGCAGATTGCTTGGAGTCACTGACTTGTTGTGTTAGTGACTTGGCAGCAATGCCTCAAAATAAGCACAAATGTAAAAGATAAATGAACTACAGTTGTATAGCGTCTTTCTGGGTCAAAGTACACCTTAGCAGCAGAACTACAGCAACACCTCTCCCACTCATCCTATACCTGGGCTTAAATCACTCACAACATCACCACAAGCCCTTTCAAATAAATATGTTTTTAAGGCTAGTCCTAAAAATAGACAAGGTGTTTGCCTCATGGACTAAAGCTGGTTCCACAGGAGAGGAGCCTGATAGCTAAAAGATCTGCTTCCCATCCTATTTTTAGAAATTCTGGGAACCACCATTAAACCTGCAGTCTGAGAGCGAAGTGCTCGGTTAGGAACATATGGAACAATCAGATCACTGATGTATGATGGAGCTTGATTATTAAGAGCTTTATACATGAGAAGGAGAATCTCAAAATCTATTCTGAATTTAACAGGTAGCCAATGTAGGGAAGCTACGACAGGAGAGATATGATCTCTCTTTTTAATTCTCATCAGAACTCTAGCTGCAGCATTTTGGACAAGCTGAAGCTTCCTGATAGTAATGAATTACAGTAATCCAGTCTTGATGTAACAAATGCATAAACTGGGGACAAGGTCAAATTTATTTGCAGAGCATTTTTACAGTTATGCAAGCAACTCCAAAGTGCTAAACAAGAACAAAATGACATAAATTGCGATCAGTAACTGAGGTTGCTTGTCCTGTTTGTGTGATTCTCTTCTCTGTATCATAAATCCTGTAAACACATGCAGGAATGAAAAGAAGCTATACAGAAATGGAGCTGGATGCACTTCTAGATGAGCTAGAACGCTGTGTTGGATCAGGAGGACCTGAAGGACAGAGAGTCAGAGTCAAGGGTGTTGGAGCAGAGCAGTGAAGAAGAAAGAATTCATTAACGCTTCCGTGTTTTTAGACTCAACAGGAGTCAAATGCATCTGTAAATGTTTTAATTCAGTCATGGTAAATCACACCCGCTGTTATAAATGAATGCTGCAGCGGTCTGGAGAAACTCTTTCAACATACCCGCCTGTTTAGTTTGCTGGTCCTAGACCCCATCTGGGTTAACAAGCAGCTCCACTCTGTATCAAGTGGTCTTCGCACAAGCATGCCTGCTGTGCCCTAGAAGATCTGGACAAGCTGGTCCTGACCACTTTAATCGTTGGACATGAACACAAAATGTTTGTTTTCTCAAAAGTTAAAGAACTGATAAAGACAGAAGAGACGATAGAAGATACGAACAATGATGAAGGAGGAGGAAGTGGGAGTCGAGCCCGTGTGGTTAAAGGACACACTCCCTCTGGTCACTTTGGGTGATGGGGCATGACTGACCCTGACTACACACACAAACACACACATACAACCTGTCAGAGGGCTGGCAGGTCACTGCTGAGACAGGCAGGATGTTTTAGTAATCTCCACCAATCAGCTGCCTGCTAGCGTGTGTAATAACAGACGGGGGTGGGGAGGGGTGGCAAACGGAGAGAGATTTGCTCTAGTTGTCTTAAATTACAGCGCTCTAGGTGTATAACCCCTCACCCACACACTTTAGCTGCTGCCACTCACACACACAGACAATGGCCAATGAATAGTATATCAGGCACCTTGAACAGCCAGGGACACGCACTCGTGCCCCCAGCAGCCACAGCTCTATGAGACAGAAGCACAAAGCACAGTGAGGTCCCGCTGGCTGACCAACCTTGGTATTAAGTCAGGGTGGCAAACAGCCGAGCAGTAACATCAAATAAAGTGGCCACCACAGCAGCTTGTTTCAGCCCACGGCACTCTGTCACACCCTGAAGGGCCGCTGCCTCTAAGGACGCAGGGCTACATGCACACCAACATGAAACGGGAACGCAAGGAGCACGCATCAGAAACTTTCAACCAAAACGGCTAAAAAACAACCGCACATAAAACAGGAAATGCACAGTTCCTTGCAAGAGTATTCACACCCCTTGAACATTTGCACAGTTTGACACAACAAACTTTAAATGTTTTTTCATTGGGATTTTCTATGATAGGCTAACACAAAGTGGCATATAAGTGTGAAGTGGAATGAAACCGATGCATGAATTTCAAAAATTAAACTGTAGCGTCCAGCAATGGTCAGTTTAGGTACAGCCTGACCTTCCTCTGGTCAGAAAGGAGACAACATTGCTTGTGTTCCCTTTAAACAAGTCTGTCTTCACTCCAGCTGGGATTCAGACTCCACAAGTCTGAATCAGAACATTAACTTACTTTCCTCAATGTCTCAGCTCCAGAAGAAAGAAGACCCAGCTCGGATCAGTCGCTACATGCAAGAGTTGTTGTAATAAATCATTAATAACTTATTCTATGACTTTTAATCTATTTAATCATTAAATAAATATTTGCTTATTATTACTTGTGATAAAATAGTATAATGATCAGTTGTAAGTCGCTAGGGACAAAAGCGTCTGCTAAATACATAAACATAATGAAATGAAGTTCTTCGTTAATCTAACTCACTGAGTGGATGTTATGTTTATCTGCTAGACTGTGTTCACCATGTTCTGACGACAAGGTCCTTACACCTGCTTCACAATAACAAGTACGGCTAAGTTAGATCCATTCCACTTAGCTAGACCTTTCACACAGATCAGAGTCTCCATATTGAAGAAGGCGTGTTTCTGTGTTGCCATGGTAACATCAACTTTCCTGTCAGCCTCTGGTTGGCTGCCCAAATCACAACAGCTAAACTTTAAAACTACAACAGACTGAGAGCAGTTCTTCAGTTCTGGAGAGTGCTGAAGAGTTTGCTCAGACGGGCCATCTGTTGCAAGACTCTAGAAACATCCAAGATTTTTACACGTCGAAAAAAACTTTTGTCTCCTGCAAAGCTGATGAGAAACACTTCCTGCAGAACAAAGCTGAGTTGTTCAACTCCTTAAGAGAATCCCTGAGACGCGAGCTGATTCCATCCTGTATTGCTTGTTGACATCTTTTGGACCGGGGAAAGTTGCTACCGTGTGGTCAAAATACTGGACCTGGGTGCCCCGAGGTCAATTGTCCTCCCTGACCTCCGGATCCTGACAAGGGTCAGCAAAAGGGAAAGTAGAACACAGCAATTGCGTCTGGATGCATTTTGTTGATAATAACTTCATAAGCTTAACACGCTCCAAATTCATTTAACCAGAACTCAGCTTAATTTGATAAGGAAGCTCTGATCGATGCCACATTTACACTTTGGTCACTTCAGCACCTTAGTTCCACTCATTCACCTTAAATGCTTAATTCACTAGTCATGTTTTAAATTGTTTGTAAAATAAATTCCTACTTTTATAAACTTGACTCTTTCTTGAAGTAACACGAAGCGTGGTTGATCGCTGAAAAAGCAAAGAACCTAGATCTTCTGAATCAAATCCTAGAATCTTCTGATTAATTACAATAAAGACCTCGCAGGTTCATATTTTATATTTATATAGAATATTACATCTTTGTGGTCATAACAGATTAAAATCATCCATTTGTAAACGCTACAAAACAAAGAATCATCTGAAACGTGTGGCCTGCTCAGGCCTCTGTACACTGATACCCCAAAATAAAATCAGTTACCTTGAGAATTCCCCTGATTAGAGAATAGAGTTCACCTGTGTGTGATGTGTGTTGGTCTATCACAGAAAATCTCAACCAAAAAGTACGCGGTTGCAAGGTGTCAACATCTGCGTCGCCTCCA